AGCCCACAAGCAGCAAAGTGAACCTTGTCCAGCGATAAACAGCATGCAGTAATATTTCATCGTAGCCTTAACAACAGCCTGGTGGGGCTGACTTTGGGGAGGAGAGAGAGACGGTCCTCCCTGTCATCCTCCCCCACGAAGACCTGGCAGGGGTGTTTCAGTAGCTGTGGCTGTTCGGCAGCCGAGGGCTTCTCTAATGAAGCAAAGACACTGTAACTGGACAGGTGCAGGCACACGGGAGACCGGCAGGGCAAACAACAGCTGAAGGGGGGTGAGGGGCAGAGCCGGGGTGGCCCCTGGGCTCAAGCCACCTCCAGGCCCTGACGCCCAGGGATCTCGGCCCAGCCATCACAGCCTTCACTCCCCTTGAGGTGGTGCCACAGTGAGATGAGGAGGTGCCCTTTCTGCCTCCCAGGGTGCCGCACTGCCACTCTGCGCGCCAAGCCTGCCTGCCCTGTGTCCAGCGCATCATTCTGCCCAGGTTCCATGGCTAATGTGCTGGGGAAAAGGAGGGAGAGAGCATGGCATGGGCCACCATAGGGGACAAATCCGCAAGTCCTTAAAGCACAGGGGTTGTTTCTTGTCCACCTGGTACTCCAACCCAGAAGTGCCATTTAGAATAATTAAAGGATTTTAGTGGACACTGACCACTCAGAAGGGATGCCAGTTGGAGCAGGGTACTGAGGTTCCTACCTGCACTAAACATTAACCCTTTAGTTACTGGCTTCTTGCCATTCTCAGGGACTCAGGAGAGGAGCAGCAGAAGGGCACCTGGGGGAGCTTGGGGTCATGGCTGCTTACCACCTGGAGTGGAAGGGGTTTGATATCCTAACAGCCAATACAGCTATAACCAGTGAGTACCAACTGGACATCTGTTCTGCTTAAATTAAAGTGAGCTAACCACACTTTAGCTAATATCTAGGATTGCCTTTCTCTAAATGTAGAGGTAAAATGATTCCCATATTCATACATTGGCTGATATCATTCATTCATCAAACAAACATTTGTTGAGCACTCACTAAGGGTCAAGTACTACGTATGAGACCGCTCAAGATACAGAGCTGAAGGAGATGGCTGTTGCCCTTAAGGAATTGTTAGATAAGTCATATGATCGAATAATTACAATGACAAGCACAGTAAAGGCAGACTTAGAGGGTCCAGTGGGAATCAGAGGAAGGAAGACAATTGGAGCACTTTCCAAAAATGTACTACTTGAGTTGGGTTTTGAAGGATGCATAAGAGTTCAGTAGCTCAGCTGAAGAAAGGACATACCTCAAAGTGAGGACAGCAAGGGCAAAGGCAGGATGGTGAGTGACTCAGGAGGCTCTTAGGACAGGATGGTGGGCATGGAAAAGCACCTGGTCCCCTTCCAGCAGGGTCACTTACCTCTTGTTCTGGGGAGGTGAGCACTACCTTCTTCCTCAGTCTTGCTTCCTTGGACTCTTTCTCAGTCTCACGGACCAGTTGCCTAATGAAGCCCCCTGGGATGACAGAGAACAGGGGAGGGGGCGAGGAAGGTGGAGGGCTCTTGTCCTCTTCCCGAATCTGTTTTGCAGAAACAGGAAGGATAAAGCTTGGTGAATGAACCAGCAGGAGCGAGCTGTCCTTTTAAAAGTTTGCAGTGCACCCTGGGAAGGGGCCGAGGAGGACATACAGGACCAAGCCCACGCGTGAGAGGCCACAGCGAAGCAGGTGAGGCTCAGCAGGGCTCTGGAAGGTCTGAAGACAGCACAGAAAATGGAACGCGTGAAATAGCAGAGGTTACCCAGTCAATGCGATTTCTGGCTGAATCGAGTTTCCTCAAAATATGAATCTAGGCCATCAAGGTCCCTTCCTTGGCATGGGACAAACCCATCTCTGGGAGGACCTGCTCCGAAGGGGGCTTTTCCACTTTCCAGAGCAGATGCCTCCTAGGGAGCCATCCACATTCTCCTGCTCCAACTCAGCTCGAAGTTAATAGATTAATCAATTAATTAATCATTTCTGGTGTGCCAGGAACATGATAAGGTAGGGCAGGGCTTGTAGCCATGGTGTACGTGAGGACCCAACCCCATGGCTACAGCACTGTGTCTTCTTGGTCCTTACACCAGGACCGGGGCAGCTGGGGGCTCCCCATCACTGGGTCTCAAACCTGACAGGCCGGCCACTGGCATTTTACCCCAGAAGCGTGGCCCAGGCCAGAGCCGGCCGGCCTCAGTGGCAGCTGAGGCTCCTTTGGTGGCCACCGTGACCTCGGAGGCTGGGGCGTGGAACTGGCTGTGGCCAAAGTGGCTGTGACTTTAATCAGCATCACTAAGACTGCCCACCAGGGGGGAAAAAACCTCTCCAGCACTTTCTGTGGCAGAGATAAACAATGGTTTAAAATAAGCTCCTTATCAAGGGCCTCTGCGTGTGGCTGACAAGGACTTGATCTCTATAGCCCAGCTAATAAAAGGGGAATCCAAAGGTGACAGGAAAGGCCAGGAGACAAAGCAGAGGCCAAGGGATAGGGCCAGTCCATGCAGACTCTGTCCAGGGAGCGAGAAGCGGGGCCCAGGCAAGGCTGGGCTCAGTTTACACACACATCTCCCTCTCCATGCCGACCGAAACCCATGTCGGAAGTGAGAGGGGCTGTTAAAGCACGCTCAGCAGGTGTCAGCCCCTGCTTCTCTCGGCATGATTCTCGATTGCGCACCCAGATCGGCCTGAGAGGGGCAGAGGCAGTCAGGAGGCAACCAGAGACACGCTTCTCCACCACCCCTTCCCTCAGCCTCCCGTTCATCAAATCATATGCACAAGTGTGGGGTGGAGGGTGGAGGGAGAGACAGGCAGCAAAGAGAAAGCTCTTCACGGTTTCTTGTGAAAAATACAAAAGGGAAGAAAGGAATAATTGGGAAGAAGGACATGTTTCCAGGTCTCCATGGTGACAGAAGGCAGAGACCACAGAAACGCATCCCTTGGCATGAGCCTGGCAGCCAACAGCTCTGAGTCTGCCCCACCGCCCACCAGCCTCCTCCTACACAAACCCCAGGCTCTTCAAAGCTGCCCTGAGGATAGAGGGGGGACAGCCGGTCTACCCTCAGTCCCCACTGCCCACTGAGGAACGAGGAGAGACCGGGAGTCATGGGAGGAGCCGAGGGCATGGTGAGTAATGCCCAGCTGGACTGGAGAGGCCCCGGCTAACCGACTGGCTGGGAGAAGACAGGAGGGGGACCAGACATGCTACAGGGAGGCGCTGGATAGCAGGCTGTCAGACACCCTGCGTGCAGGGGCAGGGGGCAGCCTGGACCACCCAGGCTCTGATGTGTCCTCCAAAGGCCACGTTGGCCCCTGCAGCTGCAGCCCGAGCCCTGAGCATTACTTTCCTTCTGCTCCCACAGGGCGAGGCGTGATGAGATGGCCATGCTGAGACAGAACCAGGACCGTGAGATGAAACGATGAGACAGGGTTCCCTGCCAGGCAGCACGGGTGAGGACTGACGGACACCAGGCTGATGGATGGAGACACAGTATAGGAGAGAAAAGAGAGGCAGGTTAGCTCGTGGACACTACTTCACCCCCATCCACACCTACGCCATGAACCAAGGCCACACAGCTGAGCACAACCCCGTCATCTGCTCCTGGGAGGAGTGTGGCCAGCATGGAGGCTGCTGGCCATGGAGTGGACAGCGGCCTGAAACCCTTTTCCCCTTGACCCCACACTTTAACTTTTTATTGAGCTATCTAATAAGAAAAGTAAATATAAAGCTTTGTAGCTCTTACATAAAGAACAAATCTATATAACCAGCATATATCATATGTCAAATTTCATACAGCTGTACAATTAAGATTGCTTATGTAAATCGTGTCTCAATTCAAAAATGTAACATTACCAGTCCCCAGACACTCCCCCATGCCCACTTTCAGTTACCTTTTCCCCCCAGGGCAGCCACTACCCTGACTTCTAATGCCGTAGAAGAGCGTGGTTTTCTTTTCCCAGGGAGTTGGCTCCAAAGTCTGACCAAGTAAATTAGGAAAGGGCAGGACACTAAAGCTATTATTTGGCCCAGCGCTTTGGGGAAGCAATTCAGCGTATTCAGCATCATAATATGATGAGAGTTTTACCAAATGTTCTTAGGAGAAGCATTGAGACATTTAACAAATGTTCATAACTTTTCACCTATCTGGACAAGTTTGAGAGAGTAATCCTAAACCAGAAAATTTCATCGCTGTGTCATTTGTAGCACCAAAACAAATGACCCCAGACTCAACCCAAGGGTCCAGTCACTAGAGAATGACCAATAAATTAGACCGCATCTAATATGAAGGAATATTATGGATCCATTGAAAAGGGTATATAGGAAATATTTTTGTATAGCCAGCCTTACTGAGGTGTCATTTCCATGGCAGCTGTTAAGATTCGCCCTTTGTAAACATACAAAGTGGTAACTTTTGACAAATTTACAGTTAATAAAATAAATTGACAGAGTTTTGCAACTGTCACGATAAACCCATCAGTCCAAAAAGACCCTCGGTGCCCAGTCACAGTCACTACCCATCCCACCCTCTGCCTCAGTCAACCACAGATCTACTTCCTCCCTCCACAGATCGCCTTTCCTGGACATACTGACATAAATAGGATCCTACAGTGGGCAGTCTCTCATGTCTGTCTTCTTTCACTTGGCATACCATTTTCTGAGGTTCACTCACATTGTTGTGAGTGGGTATTTCATCCCTTTCTGTTACCAAACATGGTTCCATTGTGGATAGCTCACATCTTCTGTTTCCATTCACCAGTTGATGGACATTTGAGTTGTTTCCACTTTGGAGGCATGATGAATGCTGCTGAAGTCATGGGCATCTTTTTGTGCCCATACTTCCTGTTTCTCTTAGGCAGATTCCTAGGAGTGGCATTACTGGGTCATACGGGGGCTTTGGCTTTTTAAGAAACTGCCAAGCCGTTTTCCATAGTGGCTGCACCGTTTCCATGCCCCCAGCAGTGCAGGAGGCTTGCTGGGAGGTATTTGCACTAACACTGGACCAGGTGCAGGTGGACTTGTTAAGTGAAAACTACCCTACATGGACAAAACCTGTAGAAAATGAAGAGTGGAGGGTACCACACCACGATCTTGGTGGAGGTGGTCGTGAGTGGAGACCCTTCTTCTCCCTTCACCTTTCCTCAGTTCTGGCTGCAGGCTGGGCCCATCCCCTGGCGCTGTCCCTCACTGACCCCTCCCAGCCCTCTCCTGGAAGAGGCCCCCGCATCTCGGGCTGTCAGAGCAACAATGACCGTCCAAGACTTCGCAAAGGCTTGGTGATCTCTGAGAAGCTGGTTTCCGTGACTTAGCCGTAAGAAAAGTCCTGGGCAGCACTCAAGGCAATCTCGCCTCACGCGTGGACAGCTGCGCATCCCGGAAGCTGGGGAGGCGGGCCTGGCGGGGCCCCAGCACTGTGCTGAGCCAGCTCTCCTCAACTCTTAAGAGCACGTGGTGAACCTCTCTCTCCAACTCCGCGTTTCTCGGTGTCACATTAGGAAACTGAAATCAGCCATGGGAGCACCTACACCACAGACACTGGCAAATACTACTGTTGATCGGGCTTTTGTTCCGGGAGCTGGCCATTAAACACTGACCAGCACATCACTCACTGGCTGAGACCCCAGCACCCCTGCGGGGCCTGGCAAGGAAGAAATCTCAAGATCTGAAGATCGGAGAAGGGACATTCCAGCTCTGATGAGGTCACATGCCCATGCGGTGACCTACAAACATGTCCGCCTGCAAACAGCCAAGTCTCGGCCTTAAGAAAAAGTCCCCCCCAGTGTGGGCTCTCCAGCTTGCAAAGGCACAGGAGGGGCAGATGAAGGTGGGCATCCGGCCAGATCTCTTCGGAGGGGGGCAGGGGCAGAGGAGGGGGATAAAGGATGCCCTGCCCGCTCATCCCCCTGGGAGACACTGGAGAAGCCCCCATGTGACTCAGCTGGAATCCGCTCCACCACACGCCTGGGGAGTGGAGCCCAGGTTATGAAGAGGCCTGACACTGAGTGGCAGCCCTGGCCACTGCGCCCTCCCACCCTTTCTGTCCAGCCCAGGCCTGGCCAGGGCAGTGGCCACTTCCCAAGGATCGCCCTCTGTTCCAAGCCTCCAGGGGGAATCCTGGCTGTTGGTCTGGGCTCTCCTCAGCTGGGGCTGTTGACCTGCCCAGAGGGCCACAGCACATGCAGGCAGGGAGAGGGGGGCTCTGTGCGGGGCCCTCACTCCACACGTCCTGCCCCTCAAAGGCGCCAGGCCAGCCCCACTGACCAAGGGCCAGGAGCCTCCTGGGGAGGCTTTGTTGAGCCTTAATTTAACAAGTGTTCTTATCACCAAATTCCCTTCCTGGCCTGAAACGCACAGCCGCCTCATCAGCTGCTGTTTTAAGCCTGTGAGGAGGCCCCAGATGCTTGGAATTCATGGTAGAGAGTCTCAATCTCTCCCTAGGGATGAGGAAGGCTGGTCACCCAGGAAAGGTGACCCCCAAAGCCAGAGATGGCTTGAAACAGTTTTCCATGTACACTTGCTAGATCTGAGTGGCCCCTGGGTAACCTGAGTCTTTCCCTCTCACCCTCAATGTCCAGTCCTGACAGCAGCCATTGTCCAGTGACTTCTCCTATCTCAAAGGATAAACTCCCAAGTCTTTATAGCAGCCTCCCAGGCCCTCATGACTACCCACCCCGACAACTCTCCCCCTTGCTCCTCCACATCGGTGACACTGGCCTCCTGGGTGCATCTTCTCATAGGTTACCACCTCAGGGCCTTTGCACATTCTGTTCCTTCTGCTTCAGGTGCTTTCCCTTCTCTGTGGCTCACAACTTCACCTCCTTCAGGTCTTTGCTCAGAGTCATCTCAAATGATCCCGCTTTTACCACACTATTTAAATGGCAGCATAGCCCCCATCCCACCCTAACCCACCCTTCCCAGGATTGCCCATCATCTTCTCCAGCTCTCTTTTCCCTCATAGCATTTAATCACTGCCCATCCTGCTGTATATTTTTTTGTTCATTTCTGACTCCCCCTGCAGAACGTGGCCCCTACATGGCCAGAACTGCCACCTCTTCTGTCCCTTTATGTAGCCCCAGAGCCTAGAACAGGGCTGGTACATACTTAGCTCTCAGTAAGTTTTTGTTGAATGAAGGGATGAATGATTAGGAGTGCGGCTGAAAGGGGACACAGTGGCCACAGGCAGCAAGTCTGTGGCAGGGATTTCTGATGTTTCCTGGGTTGTATGCACCCACATGCAGGGGACTACATGTTACCATGGCCCAAGTTCATTGATACCAAGTTCACTGATAATGACGCCACTACCCTTACCAGGCAGAACCCCAGGAATTTCTCTGAGCCTGTGTTCTCAGCTGTAAAATGACTGGAGGATAACAGGTGCTTAATCACTGCTCTCAATAGTATTTTCCTTTCTCATCTGACTCCATGGTCAAAGCTGGTGTGGAGACCCCACCCCAGGACCCAGCATAGGATGATTCCCCAATATTTAGGGAGAACCAGTATCTGTCAAGCACTGAGATAGAGCTTTATACCTAAATTGCCCCCAACTTAGGTGTAAATTCCTCCTGGACCTGGAGTTTAATTATCCCATAAGCTATTATCACGTTATTCCCAGGACAGCGCCATGCGTTTGGCATCACTCCCATAGGACAGGCAACCTGCTTGAAGTCACCCGCAAGAAGGTCAGACTGAGACCCCACCCTGCACCCAGGTGTGTTTGACTTCTCCCACACGTGCTCAGCTCCCCCACAGCTCTGCACTGGTGGTGATAAGAGAAGGCTGAGCAGGGGGCACCCTATGTCCTGGTGGCATGTTGTGGAACCCCAGGAAGTTGGTTCAAGTAGGTACATTCAGGGTAAGGCTGGGTATGCACTGATATTCTACTTAGCCTCTGTTTGGTGTTAGTGACAGCGCTTGACATATCGCAGTTTGGGGATCTCAGGGCTTAACAAATTCACTCAAGTTTACACAGTAGAATGAGGGTAACTGGGTACCCACGTGCCTGCTCCTTCTGCTCAACCCCGAGATCTCTGTCCTCCTGCGCTGGAAGGGAAGCATCAAAGCAGGGCCACTGACAACCGTGCACAAAGACTGTGCGTTGCTCTGTGCTGAGAACTTAAGTGGATGACGTCCTTCAGCCTTCCCAGGCCCCCTCCTGTAAGGTGGATTCTGTGAGTAACCCCAGCTCAGGAAGCTCAGGCAGGGCAGGGGAAGTGCCTTGCTCCCAGCTGAGAGGTGGCCACACTGCCTCTTGGACCCTGACATGTGGCTCCAGAGGCTGTGCTCAAGGTCTCCTCCAGCAACACTGTCGCTGTGTGTGGCCTGAAGCAGCTTCTCACTAAAAGCTCACCTTCCATGGCAGGAGGGTGCCAGCCCTGCGGCAGTCCCTGCCTCCTGCCTCCCCCAGCCGGTCAGCCCATCACCCTGCCCTTTGCTCCCCTGGCCACGTGTCACTATCAGGTTTAGGACCTATCTCG